GACCCCGACCCCGACCCCGACCCCGACCCCGACCCCGACGCCGACCCCGACCCCGACCCCGACCCCGACCCCGACCCCGACCCCGACGCCGACCCCGACCCCGACCCCGACCCCGACCCCGACCCCGACCCCGACCCCGACCCCTACCCCGACCCCGACCCCGACCCCGACCCCGACCCCGACCCCAACCCCAACCCCAACCCCAACCCCAACCCCAACCCCAACCCCAACCCCAACCCCAACCCCAACCCCAACCCCAACCCCAACCACAACCCTAACCCTAACCCTTACCTTAACCCCTAACCCCCCTTAACCACATTGAAGTGTAATCCAACTAAACTTCATCACTCTCACAAGGAGATGACGCAAAACTATATCAGTCTATAACATATTATTAGCTTTCTCAGTAAGAGATGCATATGGCTCAGCCCAGTAAGATCAAGGCTGCTGTCGTTGTGAGGCTAGATAGATAGTTCTGCAGCGGTTTAATATTCCGACCAGACTCATCACATAGGTTGCCAGCGGGCTCCCACGTAGCTTCGCTGCTGGGGTAACCCTTCCAATGCACCAGGAAGTGGTACTCACCACTGCGGTAACGGTGATTCACAACGGCTTCGACAACATAGCGTGTGTGTCCATCTAGATCTGTGAAGGGCGGAGGCGGGGGTTGGTGTCTTCCAGGAATCGTGTTCTCTTCGTAGCGTTTAAGAGCAGTGACATTAAACACGGGATGGCAGCGAAGTTCACGGGGTAGTTCCAAGCGAAAAGCATTCGCTCCAATCTTAGCCTGGATACGATACGGACCAAACCACTTGGGTTGCAACTTCCGAGAGGGCTGGCCACGAGCTTCCGGGGTCAGTAGAAAGTCTCTGTAGACAAGAACGCTATCACCAACCTTCAAATCACTGGGCTTTCTCGTCTGGTCTGCGTATAGAGCTTGCCTTGCCTGGGCGTCGAGCATTGCATCTCGAGCTATCCTTAGTGCGGCTTCCTGGTCATGAAGCCAATCGACCGAATCACTCCTTTCCCTTCCCGTAAGAATGAATTCGGGCGGGGACTTAGGGTCAAACCCATAGTTCAGATAGAACGGTGTATTAGCTACAGATGACTGTTGTGAACTATTTATTGCAAACTCGCAGAGTGGTAGAAGCGAATCCCAATTGTCCTGTCTCAAGTTCACAAATGCTCTTAGAACATCTCCCACTTGCCGGTTAACTCTCTCTGTCAAACCATCCGTTTGAGGGTGGTTAGCAGTGCTGAATGCCAATTTAGTTCCTAGCTGAGAGAAAACTTCTTTGAAAAAAGCTGCAGTGAATCGTGGATCGCGATCGGAAACAATGGTCGAGCTCAGCCCGTGCAGACGAAACACGTTTTGAATGTACAGTTGAGCGCTGCCCTTAGCATCAATCTTCGAGTTTGTTGGAACAAGATGTACGCATTTCGTAAACCGGTCCACAAAGGTGTAAATTGCGTCGAAGCCACGAGAAGTAAGGGGCAATCCAACAATAAAATCCATTGAGATATCCTGCCAAGGACTATTAGGTATTGGAAGTGACTGGAGAAGCCCTGTTCGTGGCTGACCTCCCTTTGTTCGCTGGCAGAGATCACAGGTTTTGACAAATCTCTTGATATCGAGACCCATTCGGGGCCAGTAGAAAAAACGTGCTAGGCGGAAGTACGTTCGATCGCGACCCGGGTGCCCAGCCGTTGCACACTCATGGTGTTCTTGAATGAGCTTTAACCGGACACCGCACTGTGGTATGCACAACCGAATATTGGGGGATGCCTTGAGGTACAAGCGATCAGTGGATTCGTCGCAATAATAGCGATCATGCAAATCATCTCGGAGAGAATGCTTCAATCTTTCTATGATGGGAGTTAGCTCTTTGTCTCTCTGGTAGGCATCTGATATTGTATCGGACACGTCATCATTCATTGCTAAAGCATACTCAATAGCATTCAAACGTGGTACTGCATTTTCCACGAGGTTACTCTCATGGAGATCTGGGCGACGCGAAAGGGGATTTGCAAGGTTCTCTCTGCCGGGTCTGTGACGGACTGTGTAGTCATAGTCAGCTAGGAATTCAACCCATCGCGCCTCTCTCTTTGTAATGCTTGGTTTTGTTTTCAGATAAACTACCGCCATGTTGTCTGTTATGACCTTAAAGTGTTGAAAGAGGTAGATGCGCCAGGTCTTTAGCGCAAACACTACGGCCAATGTTTCTCTTTCTGAAGCTGTATAATTCTGTTCAGCAGCAGACAATTTTCGGCTAGCATAAGCCACTGGATGCCAGGCATCTTCCTCTAGTTCTTGGAGAAGAACACATCCCAAGGCGAAATCGCTTGCATCTGTTACCACTCTGAATGGTCGGTTCACATCAGCCAGCCGCAATAGGGGCGCATTCAACAAGGCATGCTTTAGCGATTCAAAGGCATGTTGCCGAGAGCTGTTCCACTTGAATCGTGCATGTTTTCCCGTTATCTCCTCTAAGTTCTTAAAGAGCGATGAGTATTGATCTATGAATCGCCTAAAATAATTCGTAAATCCAAGAAATTGCCTAACCTTTGTGACGGAAGTCGGAGCGGGCCAGACCTTTACTGCGGCAATCTTGTCTGGGTCAGGGGCGATGTGCAGTCCATCGATGCAATGTCCCAGGAACCGCACACTCTCCACGCCAAATTCACATTTTGACCGTTTGCAAAATAACTGGTTGTCCCGGAGCACGCTAAATACCGACCGGACATGCTGCATATGCTCCGACCACGTTTTGCTGAAGATGAGTATGTCATCTAGGAACACGACTACGAACTCCCTCAGATATGGTTGAAGAATCGTATTCATCATGGATTGAAATGTTGCTGGTGCATTTGTGAGACCAAATCCTATGACCCTAAATTGGTAATGCCCAAAGGGAGTGTTAATCGCGGTTTTGGGCACGTCCTCAGCTTGAATGCGAATCTGATTATACCCTGATCGGAGGTCTAGTTTCATGAAGTACCTAACGCCCTGTACGGTATCGAATAAATCATCCACATTGGGCAAGCACGCCTTGTTCTTAACAGTTGTCTTGTTTAGCTCCCTCCAATCGCAGACCATGTGTAACGAACCATCAGCTTTCTTGACAAAAAACACCGGTGCACCAAAGGGGGACTTACTTGGTTCTACGAAACCCTTTTTCAAGAGTTATGTGAGCTGTTTCTTCAATTCCTCCATTTCTGGCCTGGGCAGGCGATAAACAGGTCGCGATGGGGGTGATAAGCCTTCCTCCAGGCGGATTTTGTGGTCTACAGACCTCTCTGGTGGGAGTCTAGCTAGCAGATCATCCGGGAAAAGATCATTATAGTCACGGAACATGGCCTTGAGATATGGGTGCTCGTTCTGAGTGGATTTGTCGGGAGGTTCCTTGCCAATGCCGTCTTCTACGCTGACCCACGCCAGAACACCTTCGTCTCCACTCCTAAGAGCATGCCTAGCCTGACGACCAGATATGAACATCGCCTCCACAGGAGCGGTCGGTTCGCTTTGACTGTGCGACGCACAAGGCAAACCATTCGAGTTCAACCTGATTTCATTCGTTCGGAAGTTTATGTCTGGATTGTTACGCGTTAACCAAGGTTTCCCAATATAGCGTCATAGCGATGAAGGGGGAACACCGTTACGGTTTGGTTATCGCTGAAGTCGCCTACGATAACCTTCAATTCATGGGTCGTCTCCATGGGAAACGAGCTTGATGCTCCATCAGCCAGCGTGACATTCAGGTTTTCCGAGCCAATTTCGGTTGGCAGGTTAACTCTCCTGGCAAATTGTTCGGCAATGAAATCATGGGTCGAGCCCGAATCTAATAACATAAGCGCGCGACGGCCGTTGATTTTGCCTTCTACACGCAGGAGCTCATGTTCCGTTTCCACATTGACGCTGGTAACCTGGGCCTCAATAGTTAGTGTAACATCTCGCTTGAAATTGGCTTCGGAGCATTCAGCATCATCGTCAACATCCTCCACAGCGAGGCTACTGAATCGGTTACGGGTAGAGACGGAGCACACACTACACGCAGGTGATGCCTTTTCTTGCTGCGTCAGTAATCGCATCGGCCTTACTGACGTCCACCGTTTGGGTGATCTCGATGCTGCGGGCAATTCTGGGCCATATGGCCTGGTCGACGACATGCGAAGCAGCCCCCTGGGCTCGTAATGTCTCACGTTCCTCGAAGCTTAGTTTTGTTAGCTTTCTGCTACCTAATGGTGGTGCAAATCCCGGCGCGGTCGCCAGTGGTGGTCTGCGCTGAAATCGGCTGTCTGAGGCGACTGCTAGCGCTGACTGAACGGCGCCTGACAGTGTAGTGGGGTGTTATTTGACTACCAAGGTCCGCATGTTACCGTGCAGGCCATTGACAAATAGCAAGGCTCTGGAGAGTTCGTCAAGTTCCGGCACCTGTAAACTTAGCCGAGAAAACTCCGTTACGTACGATTCAATTGACCTACGCTGTTGGATAGAGAACATATCCAACTGCACTCTTTCCCCGTCATAGTGCGGGCTATACACTCGCGCTAGGGCGCTTTTCAAAGAATACCAATCCGAAAATTGCTCATCTGCTTCCATGGAAGAAATTAGCCAAAGACGCGCATTCCCAGCGAGGTAACTAGCCGCAAAGTTAACTTGGCTCTCTCGGTCACCTTGAGGTGAGCACTTCAAGGCTAACTCGACCGTAAATACCCACTCTTTGAACTCGGAAGGGTTGCCATGGAAAACATTCGGTTCTCTGGTAACGCGTTTGACGCTCGGGCTTGTCTGGGAGAGAGAACGCGATCGACACGGGGCTAGATCCGGAGGACTTGAGCTTGATGTAGCAGGTAATTGATGTCGTCCAACTGTAGCAGCCACGTTGTCCCGAGCGCGGCGGATCTCACGGAAAGCGGCGTATAGCAGAGCAGTAGCGGCCAGGAGCACAAGGCACGTCAAAGGGCAAACGATGATCTCGACAATCCTCAAGCTACCAGTGTAACAGTATAGACTTGATTGATTGAAAAATTCAACGAATGATGTTCAAACCAGAGGTTATAAAACAAAAGAAAGGCGAGAACCGCAGGAGTGAGAATAGTAGGAACACAAGGTGTTACCATAAGACAAGCAAGAAGTGTCAAGGTAAAACTATTACAGTTATGCTCCTACCTCAGAAAGGCAAGTTATGATCCAAACTTTCATTAACCAAAATATGCCAACAATTATGCTGGCATAATCCACCGGTGCCTAGTGATATTACTTAAAATGAAGACACACTTCAGAAACATCTTGGATTTTTTCGGTTCACTAGAATACTTTTCAAGATTTATCATCAGGTGAAGGACATCCCAAGTGAAATGAACAAAGGCAATGCACAGTGTACAGTAGAGAGGTAATAATACCAGTTCCAGTAAGTAGAGCTATAAAAACAAGAAATCATGGCTGTCATATGCACAAAGAAATGAAATGGGTAAAATGTGCAACAAAAATGAAAAAGAATTTGGCAGGTGGGCCAAGGAACAAATTGTAATGTGTAAATTGTGGGCTTAAGTTACGCAAATGAGTCTCCCAAAGAAACCAGAATTTGAACAGCCATACATGCAAAACCTAGCACAAAACCTCCACACTTTGTTGCTGTGGATTTGCTCAGTACTCCTTGTCAGGTTTGTCCTATAATTATTGTTCACGCTTGACTGTTCAGTTGGTGGTCTCCATCGCATAACGTGTGCCCACAATTTCCATGTTGCAAAAATGATAACTTAGTTATTTTTAAATTACCAGCAGTGACAGAAGGTGGGGTACAGGGTATGGCACGTGAGTGTGGGTAAATATCCAATAGCAGTACGTGCGCGAAAAAGGCGGATTTGCTTGAAAAAGCAGACTCCTCCATATGTGTGAATGTGGTAAGACTCGAGTGGATTCGGGTCAATTGCATTTGGCGCAATGTTGGCATGCATGACTAACAAAACTTTATGCTTGCAAATAGGCGAGAAAATCCATGCCAGACGGAAAAACACTACACACATTTATAATATAAGAATGATGTTGAGTTGTGAAAAGGAGTGAGGGAGGGTAGAGAAAATGAAGAACATGGCTACTTATTATTATTATTATTATTATTCTCGTAAATGTCCCGAATGGGACTCACGACGGCAGACGTAACCGTGAGCATGTGTGGGTGAGAGTGGGAGAGCGAAATGAAAAAGAAGAGTCTTGTAATAAAGGTCAAATTTAAGAAGAGCAGTACTAGACTAAATGGCTGACCAGATGTTACTCCATTGTTTTCTGTCGCGGGCATAGGTGCCAAGATCACGAAGGCAGCTGGGCTTAAAAATGCAGATAGGTGTGAGGCGGACGTCTCGCTGGAGACTTGTGGTGAAGCAAGAGCGGGGTGCACCTATTCGAAAGGGCTGACTGGTAGCATATGTACAGAAAGCAGTGAGAGCAACATTTGCAGGGATGGCACTTGGCTGGCGTAATATATGTCCTAATAGCTTCCACCTGTCCCGCTTGGCCATTTCAGATACAGAGCACTGGCCAGTAACAGCATATAAATCTGCATTCGAGAAGACATCTGGGTAGGTAATTCCAAGGGTACACCGCAGCTGTTTCCTATGAAACACATCTAGGCATGGCTACTACTACTACTAATACTATTAACGCTTCTATTCTACTACAGCCCCACGTACATTTACATTTCATGATGCTGCTTTTTAGAACATGTCAAAGAAAAGGGTTAACTTTGACAATTTACTACGACTTCGTGTTGATTTCATCTGGGATATCAATTTCTTCATATATACGCTCCTGTTTGGAGCTGTAAGCTGGATTATTGGAGAAGTACGTCATACCTGTCGTCTGCTTGGAGTCGGAGAAGAACACATCTTGATGAAATTTGCTCCGTGTTTTTTCTTCCCTTCTAGAACGACTAGCTTTGTATTCACGTCGTGACCAGATGATGACTATGACTGCGATGATAACTAAAATCCCTCCGGCACCTCCACCTAAACCAATCGACAACTCGTGCCCTGAAATTGAAGAAATAAAAAGAAAGGCATTATTAAGTTAAGAGGAAATGAATTAGCGAATACATTATCCTGTAACGTTCGCCATGTTTTTATTGCCTAGGGAAAAACATGTAGCTGGTGCACATCTTCTAAGCGCATCCCTTTCTCTTATCGGTACTTTCGGCAGATGTAACAGACGGAGAACTAAACATTCCTCATTTCAGTGTGTTCCGCAAAGATCGGGAAGGCAGGCAAGGAGTAGGCCTTGACGGATTATGCTAATATTTTCGTGAAATAATGCTTTTCGCATTGCAGAAAAAATTGCAGAATTATGCTATTTTTATACTAAAAGTTATCATATTATGCCGCATTATGCTCACATATGCTGCTAATGTATTATGTATGATGGTTCTGTGCAAAATAGCAGGGGGATTTTTTTGTAGAGGGCGTTGTACTGCACAGTCTGTAGTACAAAATGTACTTGGTCCGACTTATTAAAATGTACGCTTCACTTCAAAACTCAAGCATATGTACAAAGGAGCACCTGTACTAAAAAATCAACCAAGAGACGGTAGATAGATAACTACTGTGTCGTTTCTTGGCCTGACCTTCTAGTTTTCATCGCTTCTGGTGTCTCAGGGCGCATCTGCAAGTGCGTCAACCTGCAAAACGTCGACATTTTTTTTCATCTCCTCCAAGCTACACTCCGCTTCTTTGATTTTTTCACTCCATAGGCACGATTTAGACGATCGACTTCGCCTTCTCCTCGTGCAGTACCACTACCAGAATGGTGGCTGTAGGTGTTTTCGCCTGAAGCTCCCACGACACCTTCAAATGAGGCGAACAAGTAAACCACCACGCATAAAAAATCACTTCTGACTACCGTGTACCGGGCGCGTAGGTCTACTGATCATGAGTCTGATCTGTGTCGACATGTCATGCAGTCAGACCATGCGCGCGTGCTCTTTCCTGCCTGTTTCACGAATCCACTGGCCACGGAGACTGGCGATCTTGTGACGCATCGCGATCGCGGCTCCGAGCACTCCGCACCGTATCCGCCGGATAATTCACCCTTTCTGCGCTTCAGTTTTCCAGCCAGGTTGTCGTCTGAAAGTCGACCTCAAGGCCGGTTATTTATTTCGATCAGCTAATTACTTCTCGACGATCACTTCTGTGATCTTGATCCGTCGACCGCCACATCGTGAACGACTGCGAGAGAGATCAGGAAACTGGACGGAGCGATGCTGGTGCTTTCTGCACGAGTTTCTGGGTGACGCGTTTGCTGAAATTCTGCCAAGGAAACGGCGATTGCAGTGATTTGAATCCGCCAGGAGGCACTGGATAACGGTCGCCCAGGAGGTTCTGGTACTCCGTGACAATCCCCCATCGCAGCGGGGTGTTGATTTCAGCATCAGGCCTTCTCTGTGTTGCGCGAGAAGCAACAGGAGTCCTCTGACGACAAAATTTGGACGCAAAATTCTCGAGTCGACTAGGATCCCGAGCCGCTGCCTCCGTTGGAGTTGGAGCCATTTCTTCTTGAACATCACAAATTGACAACTGAAGGATAGTGTTAGGTAGCTGTAAAGTTTATTCCGTCCTGAGATTATTTGAATTTGTTTGGTTGACGTTCGAAGCGAAACGCACATTTTAATAAGTCGGACCAAGTAGCAGAAGTTCAACGGGGTCAACGCACCGTCCGACCTACATATACATGTAGCTACGACCGTCACTGATTGTAGTGGACTGGACATATTATCAAGGGAGTAGTTTTCTATCGTAAACCTACGACTTCCTGGTGCATCTACTGTCTTGTAGAACATGTACAGCTGTATGGAGTTTGATGCGAACAGGCAGATTATTCCAATTTTATGCGATTCGTATGCAATTTGCCTCGACTTATGCGATTATTCGATTTTGGTAGGAATTATGCGAAAAATTATGCTAGCATAATCCGTCAAGGCCTAGCAAGGAGGCGGTGTTGCCTTCTACTGTCATACTTCCTTGCAAGTAAGTCGAAGACGTGACCTCGAGTGTGAGCTGGAGATGGTGTGGCTGGAGATTCTAGGACAAGGTCACCCAGGCAATGAGACGGTCTTACTGGGCTGCTGCTATCGACCACCTAGTGAATCTGCGGGCTACTGGGATGGGCTGGAGTCAAACCTAGAGACTATCGCAGTGGACTGCAGACCACAACTGTGCTAGTAGAAGACTTCAACGTAAACTTTAATGATGGCCATGCTGTGACTCCTTCGCATCATGTACTCAACCAGTTTAACCATCGCAACCACTTCACATATATATAGGAATTTTTTATTTCCATTGCTATCAGGTTCGGCCTCATATTCTCTGTGCTGCGCTGATGAGTTCAAAAAGAACGAAACAGCATGCTGTCCGCAGATTGAGTATTTCGCTCCTCCTTTTGTAGCAGTTGAGCACTCTTGCGTGGGGTAGTGCCTTTGCTGTTTGCGTTATGCAGAGCTCACTGATTTGTCAGTTTGAGCACTCTGGCAAGGTACGTTCGGGCCATAGTGGAAATTTATATTTCCATTGCTATCAGGTTCGGCCTCATTTTCTCTGCGCTGCGCTGATGAGTTAGAAAAAAACGAAACAGCATGCTGTCCGCAGATTGAGTATTTCGCTCCTGCTCTTGTAGCAGTTGAGCACTCTTGCTTGGGGAAGTGCCTTTGCTGTTTGCGTTATGCAGAGCTCACTGACTTGTCAGTTTTAGCACTCTGGCAAGGTACGTTCGGGCCTGGTTGGAAATTTCTATTTCCATTGCTATCAGGTTGGGCCTCATTTTCTCTGTGCTGCGCTGATGAGTTCAAAAAGAACGAAACAGCATGCTGTCCGCAGATTGAGTATTTCGCTCCTGCTCTTGTAGCAGTTGAGCACTCTTGCGTGGGGTAGTACCTTTGCTGTTTGCGTTATGCTGCTGCATCGCGCAATGTCCGCTACATTTTGTAGTTTGAGCACTCTGGTGCTAGAGCGACGAGCTACTGTAATGTCTGTGGTGCCTCCTTTGCACCATGGCTGGTAGGTAGCTCGGCCTATTTAGCTCGTAGCTGTACTGATGAGGCCTTTATGGCCGAAACAGCTTGCTGTCTACAGCATTGGGTATTACGCTCCTCGGCTTTCGCCTTGTTGAGCACTCTCAGTAGGCTGCTCTAGTGCTGCTGCATCGCGCAATTCCAGCTACATTTTGTAGTTTGAGCACTCTGGTGCTAGAGCGACGAGCTGCCTTGTCTGTGGTTCCTCCTTTGCACCATGGCTGGTAGCTCGGCCTATTTAGCTCGTGGCTGTACTGATGAAGCCATTATGGCCGAAACAGCTTGCTGTCTACAGCATTGGGTATCACGCTCCTCGGCTTTCGCCTTGTTGAGCACTCTCAGTAGGCTGCTCTAATGCTGCTGCATCGCGCAATGCCCGCTACATTTTGTAGTTTGAGCCCTCTGGCGCTAGACATGTCAGCGATTCTCGGAAAGGATCAAGCAGCATATCCGAGACAAGCTGTACAAGAAGCCGCCTGAAAAACGTGTGGCAACAAGTGATAGCGTAATCACAAAGCATTTGCAGGCGCAACCTGAATGCATCCCGCAGGAGCGCAACAGCAGCTTCAGTGTCATCACACCAGCCCGGAACAGCGCACACCGATTCACACTGGAGGCGCTGTACTTTCGCAGTTTGGGGCCAGAATTGTGTCGACAAAAGAAGCACATCAAGGTGCTGCGGCTGTTCAAGCTGCAACCGGACTGACAACTTTATAACGTGCTTGTTCTGGTACTGTATTCCCCTCATGTGCTGCTTCCCGCATTTTTCCACTGCTCCATACATTCTTATGGTAGTGTAAGGTGAACTTGAGGCGTGTAAGAATATTCTTGCTGATTCTCTACCCCCAGTATAAATTCTGGCTTCGTTTTCGTTCTTGCTCATTCCCATGTACCTACTGATGAAAATGGGTGAAAAGCTTTTAGTATTATGAAACTGACAACCTTGTTGTTGTGTGTATATTCATTTTGTTCGCTTACCTCTCTATTTAAATATATATATATTGCGTTATGCAGAGCTCACTGACTTGTCAGTTTGAGCACTCTGGCAAGATACGTTCGGGCCTGATTGGAAATTTTTATTTCCATTGCTATCAGGTTCGGCCTCATTTCCTCTGTGCTGCGCTGACGAGTCCACAAAGGACGAAACAGTTCTGTCCGCAGATTGAGTATTTCGCTCCTGCTCTTGTAGCAGTTGAGCACTCTTGCGTGGGGTAATGCCTTTGCTGTTTGCGTTCTGCCGAGCTCACTGACTTGTCAATTTGAGCACTCTGGCAAGGTACGTTCGGGCCTGATTGGAAATTTTTATTTTCATTGCTATCAGGTTCGGCCTCATTTCCTCTGTGCTGCTCTAACGAGTCCACAAAGGACGAAAGAGTTCTGTCCGCAGATTGAGTATTTCGCTCCTGCTCTTGTAGCAGTTGAGCACTCTTGCTTGGGGAAGTGCCTTTGCTGTTTGCTTTATGCAGAGCTCACTGACTTGTCAGTTTTAGCACTCTGGCAAGGTACGTTCGGGCCTGTATGGAAATTTTTATTTCCATTGCTATCAGGTTCGGCCTCATTTTCTCTGTGCTGCGCTGATGAGTTCAAATAGAACGAAACAGCATGCTGTCCGCAGATTGAGTATATATAATTATATATATTTATATAACGCGCATGTCAGCGATTCTCGGAAAGGATCAAGCAGCACATCCCAGACAAGCTATACAAGAAGAAGCCACCGGCGGATTATGCCGGCAGAAAAATTGGCAGAATTCGGTACATTTTCTGGTAAGTTTCATGCATGTTTGGTATGTGGATGAAGAAATTGAACAGAATTCGAGGAATTTCCCGCCATGAGGTTTGTATGGTTCTGCCCATTTCACTGCTTTTCGAGCAGAATCTGCCCCCTTTTCGAGCATAATTCGGCGGTCCCTAACAAGAAGCCGCCTGACAAACGTGTGGCAACAAGTGATAGCGCCATCACAAAGCATTTGCAGGCGCAACCTGAATGCATCCTGCAGGAACGCAACAGCAGCTTCAGTGTCATCACACCAGCCCGGAACCGCGCCTACCGATTTACACTGGAGGCGCTGTACATTCGCAGTTTGAGGCCAGAACTGTGTCGACAAAAGAAGCACATCAAGGTGCTACGGCTGTTCAAGCTGCAACCAGACTGACAACTTTACAACGTGCTTGTTCTGGTACTGCATTCCCCTCATGTGTTGTTTCCCGCATTTTTCCACTGCTCCATACATTCTTATGGTAGTGTAGTGTGAACTTGAGGCACGTAAGAATATTCTTGCTGATTCTCTACCCCCAGTATAAATTCTGGCTTCGTTTTCGTTCTTGCTCATTCCCATGTAACTACTGATGGAAATGGGTGAAAAGCTTTTGGTATTATGAAACTGACAACCTTGTTGTTGTGTGTATATTATATATATATGAGCCCCAGCCAGCAGAAACCTGAACATGTTTGTTTGTTTGTTTCTTTTATTTGAATTCGTTTAGAGCACAGGCAATTCTGCCTTCTCACCAGAGGAAAAACCTCCGGTTTCTGCTAAGAACGAATATAATATTATGAGAGAAGGAAATATTAAAAAGAATCATAACAATCATGATAATTCCAAAGCACAAAGTTTGTATATAATTCAAATGGGTGTGTGTATGTGTAAGCATGCAGTGAAGAAAACACCGAGAAAACATGCAGTAATGTGTAGGGATGCCGAGCAAGGTGGTTACAAATTATTAATTCTGTTCAGAGCCAGTTTAAAGGCAACCGCCGCACTGTGGAGGCGAATATCGCTGGGAAGGGAATTCCAAAGAGTGCTTCCCACAAATGTCAATGACTGACGACCGGAAGGTCCAGGAAGGAAAGGCACTTGCAGTAGCCGCTGCTCCTGTCCTCGAGTAATTCGGCGATCATCCCGGGATGCTTGGCCTGTGTTAGCCATCAACTGAAAGTAGGTGCAGAAAAGAGGACTTGCAAGATCATGTAGGCAACGGAAAACAAAAAATAAAACCTTGTAGTTAAAAATGTGAGTTAGGGATCGAATAGATAAGCGCACGAGGAGGGGGGCTGTGGATGCACGGCTGGAGAGTCGGAAAATTGCACGAATTCCGGATTTGCTGGATTTGATTAAACGACTCTGCAGCTGCTGTATCAGCGACGGGAAGAATGCATTGGATGCGTATGTTAGTCGTGCTTGCACAATGCCAATGTACCAAAGTCTGCGGGCTCTTATGGGCAGAGATCGCCCATGGCGCCATAGCTGGCTGATGGCGACTGACGCCTTCTGCACAACACTGGAGACATGGGGCTGCCAGGATAGCTGGTCATCAATGGTTACGCCAAGGTATTTGGCAGTGGAGGTAACAGTTAAGGCTTGATCCTTACATTTCACGACTGGTATGTCGCCAGTGAGTCCCCGAGGTTGAATTACCATGACTTGGGTTTTGCCGGTATTCAGCAGAAGCCCAATTTCGGAGAGCCAGTCAGACAGACGTGTCACAGCCGTAGTCAACGTCTTGCAAACAGTGTCCAGATCTGAATCAGAATAATCTAGGATGATGTCGTCCGCGAACTCCTGATGAACAACAATGCAAGGTATGACGTCGGAAATGTCACTCGTGTAAAGGACAAAGAGAAGCGGCCCAAGAACACTGCCTTGGGGCACACCTCTTGAGCATGGGACTGCATCAGAAAGAGCCTCACACACCTTGACACGTTGAGTACGACCAGACAGATAGCTAGCCAACCATAACAATACTCTGCCATTGACTCCCAGGGTGAATAGTTTATCAATCAGACGTTGATGTTGGACACGGTCAAACGCTTTTGACATGTCAACCATCACAATACCTGTGTATTTTCGCTCTTGTTTGGCCAACAGCCAACGGTTGGCGGCTAGAACTAATGCATCTTCGGTAGAGTGCATTTTCCTGTAGGCAAACTGACTGCTAGGTAATATGCTATGTTGCGTGAGGTATGCTGTGAGTTGCTTCTTTACAAAGAACTCCAAAATCCGGGACAGAATAGGGAGCAATGACACTGGTCTATAGTTAGTAGGGGATGTTGCATCGCCACTCTTGAACAGTGGACTAATGTGTGATGTTTTAAAACACACTGGCACAGTACCTGATGTCAAGGATGCATTGACTAGGGTGGTAAATGGAGGTGCCAGGACATGTGAACACTGCTGCAGTACAATTCCAGGAATGTTGTCACTCCCAGATGCTTTGTGAGGACTCACAGTTTGCAAGCATTGTGCAACATCAGACACGCTTACCGGCTGAAATGTTGAGAAGCTAGATGCAGAGGCTGGACCATGTGGTATATGCAGCTCAGGTGGCCGCATAGGGTCATGCACAATGTCTCCAAACAATTTACTGAGTGACTCAAGCGGCGCTTCAGGTTCTTTCCGTGTCTTCTGTCGGCCTGTGATATCGTTCATGACAGCCCAAAGTTGCCGTTGATCTGATGTATCACATCTCTTAGTGAAGTACAAGTTGCGCAGACTCCTGTCCAACTTCCGTGCTTTGGAGCGAGCTGATCGGTGTGCTTCTTGAAGGTTCTGATCGGTTTTGTCTCGGAGCCAGAGACGATGCGCCCGGTTCCGTTCACGAACACTTGCCACTAACTCATCTGTAATCCAGGGGCAAGGACGTCGAGATTTGCGGCGCCGTTCCCGAAGTGGAGCATGTTTGTCTAGAGTGGTCTGGATTCCCGCAGTGAGTGACGACGCAAGCACATCCACACAGACAGAGTCACAGGTAGTTAGCGTCTTCTCCAGGTCACATGTAAACATATTCCAATCCACTTTGTGCAAACAGCGAGTCTTGCGCAGATGCTGTCCCTTCAAGTGGTGACTTGCTGAAATTGGCAGCCTGGCAAGTATTGCAGAGTGGTCACTGATATCCAAATGTATGGTCTCGCAAACACCCTGGATCGGGGTGGTAGACAAGAATAGATCGAGTAGTGTGGCAGTACTGCTGGTTACTCGGGTAGGAGATGTGACGTGGTTGCGAAGGTTAAACTGGTTGAGTACATGATGCAAAGGAGTCACAGCATGGGCATCATTAAAGTTTACGTTGAAGTCTCCTACTAGCACAGTTGTGGTCTGCGGTCCACTGCAGGCAGTCTCTAGGTTTGACTCCAGCCCATCCCAGTAGCCCGCAGATTCGCTAGGTGGTCGATAGCAGCAGCCCAGTAAGACCGTCTCATTGCCTGGTCGACCTGGGGCTAGAATCTCCAGCCACAGCATCTCCAGCTCACACTCGAGGTCACGTCTTCGACGGACTTGCAAGGACGTATGACAGTAGAAGGCAACACCGCCTCCTTGCCTGCCTTCCCGATCTTTGCGGAACACACTGAAATGAGGAATGTTTACTTCTCTGTCTGTTACATCGGCTGACAGCCAAGTTTCCGCAACGCCTAGGATGTGTACTCCACGGGTTGAGATAAAGTCTTCAATTTTTGCTACTTTTCTCCTAAGGCTACAGACATTTAAGAAAGCTACACTGGTCATGATCTAATACGATATGGTGAGTTCGCCAACTGTCATATGCCGGTCGTTGCTCTCGTTGTTACCCATGACCATGTCCTCCTGTTCCATGTCCGAGTCGGTCAGGAGCTCATTTCCTGAAAAGTCAACAAGTTTTTTTGGCACTCTGAAGGTTTTCCGTCCCTTGGCCACCATAAAGCCTCCCTTGTCATCTGGAGGGCAGTGAACAGTTCCCAGCTCCTTGTTAAGCTGGTCTGGTTTGGCTGATTCCTGACTAGGTGAAGAAACTTGAGGTGTCCCAGTTTCAGGTGCTGAAGCTGTACTGCTTGCTGACTGGCTTGTACTCACTGTTGGTTCTGAATTTGCACCCACTGTGTCATCCAGTGTCCCCTGGGCCTGGCCCTGAGTACATGTACCCTTCAGCGCGCTGGCTGCTGCATCAGCGTACGGACTGGGCCTCCTGGCCTGATGTGTGATTTTTTCAAAAATTATTTTTCCCTCGAAATTGTTTCTACACTATTAATCATTCAAGTTATCCAGTTTGGTCACATTCTGATAAGCGAAAGCATGGAACTAAACTTGAAGCTGTTTGTGTTTGTTTTAAGGTGTCTATCTCGTTCCACCAGTCCTCTGTTAACCCTTTTGAGTCCAATAAAAGGTGGTCGCTGGTCGCGTTCAGCAGGTAGTCGCTTATCATAGTGAATTTTGAATGTGAGACCGTCCGTGCCTGGTCAAGTGGTCCATGGTACCAGGCTGGTCGCTAGTCACGGTGGTCGTTAGTTACAGGTTTTATTGTATGTAATGCATATGCAGAAGTAATAATTATGTTACAAAAACAATAGTGTGGTCGACCTGCGCAGAGGAAAGGCATCATGGACATGATCTACGTGTATAACATAATAAATGTTATAAGTGAGCTAGGGTACATGATACACACACATTTGCGCATGTTCAAATAGGAGATCAACCTGATAGGCGTTCGCCGGCGCTGGGTATTCTTAAAATAAAGATATTAATATTATTGAAGAGATTATTATCATACGCTCACATAAACACCACATACCAACCATGTGCACAAACCCACCCCCCCCACACACACACAGGCGCGCACACACACACACACATGCTCGCATGCACGCACACACACACACACCACACACACACACATACACACACACCGCACACACGCACACACAGACACACACTTGCACATTCACGCAGACGCGTAATCATACATAATATTTGTGCACAGACTCGCTCTCTCACAGTAACGTCCAGAAAACCACCATGCCAAGTCCCTACAGCCGGTCGGTCGCCCAATCCCAGTGGCTTGAGCGCAGGAATCGGTGGACGTTGCACTTGAAGGACTGAAACCTCTTCTGGTCAGGCTGATCCAGGAGGTGTTGGCGAGGCAACTGGTTCCAGTGTCCAGCACTCCTTCAGGTACCGACCGGCGGACGTTGCTGCGAGAATTGGCTGGGATATCAGACTGCAGCTGGTAGCGGTGGCCGGCCGCCACCCGCGCCTGCTGCCTTGTGTTGGCAGGATGTTGGTCGTGGTCTGGTACTGCTTGGGAGGGAGGCAGCATTCGGGTTAGCATCTGTGGGCCTGTCAGGAAGTGGATTTTGTACAGATAGCAGAGAGCAGCCACTTTGCGCCGGAGTTCGAGGCTTGGCAGATAAGCGCCTTCGCCGATCAGATGCAGGGCTCTCCGCTGTACAGCATCGAGTTGGGCCAGCACCGTCTGAGAAGCACCCATCCAGACTAGCATGCCATGCTCTAAGACTGGGCGAACAAAGCCGTTGTAGACCGTGAGTCGGCAGCCAGGGTCAAGCACTGCTGCGGCCTTCTTCAGGAAGCCCAGTCGCTGTATCGTGCGCAGGGCTGACTGTCGAATCTGCTGGCAGAATGTCAGTTGACTGTCGAAGGCTATCCCAAGTAGCTTCAGCACTGGGTTTCAAAAACCATTTCACCTTGGAATGTGACCGGAGGGCAGTCCCAGGGCCGACGGTGGTGGCTGACGTGGAGTAGGTATGACTTGGCGGGCTCGAATGTCAATCGCCAGCTGGCACCCCAGGCAGCAAGGGCATTTACGGCGGTCTGGCGATCATCACAGTCGGCTGCAAGGTTGCCGAGATACCGAATACACTTGTAGAGCGTTGTGTCGTCTGCGTACGCGGGAAGGCTGGTCGATTGGGGAAGGTGGTCCTCAGCGTCATTAATGTAGATCAAGAAGAGAGTGGGCCCCAGGATGCTTCCTTGAGGCACACCTGCTCGGAAAGCGTGTGTGGCTGATTGTGTCCACCAACTACGGCCCGGATCTGGCGGCTCTCTAGGCAGTTTTTCAACCATGAGAGCAGGTGGCCAGTTAGCCCAATCCATTTGGCCTTGTGAACTACACTTGGGTGCGACACTTTGTCAAATGCGCCGGCCACGTCAACAGCAAGAACCCAGGTCACAACCCCAGCATTGGACGTTCGACTCCACTCATGCTGAAGTGAGAGGAGAAGATGAGTCGTGCCGAGGCCGCGTCGGAACCCAAATTGCCGTCCGAAGAGGACCTGATTGCTTTCCAGGAAGTTAGTGATGCTGCGATTGATGATGGCCTCCATCACCTTAGAGAGAATAGAGAGGAGGAAAATCGGACGGTAGTTCTTCGGGGTAGGCTTGGAGCCTTTCTTGAAAAAGGGACAACGTTCGCGATCTTCCAGGATGCAGGTTGCACCCCGTCCTGGAAGCACTGGGAAATAGCTTTGCCAGAGGGCTGGCGAGTGACTGCGCTGACTTCCTGAGCACTTGTGCCGGAATGCCGTCAGGGCCAGTTGCTTTAGAAGCGTCCAGGTTCTTGAGAGCTCGCTGGACTGTGGCAGGGCGGAAGTGTAGGGTCCTCAGGCTATTGCCTGTGCGTTGGCGAATAGGGGGCAGAGGTGTGTCTGGCAGGTCATTGGCACCAAGGCTACATTTCTCCGCGAAGTAGTGACCGAGGCAGTTTGCTTTCTTGATGTTCGTGGCATGTTCTTTGCCAGCAGGGTCGACAAGAATCGGGATGGAGCTATTTCGGGAGGTTCCGATGGACTGCTTGATGGTTGACCACCACTGTTTGTCTCGAAGGCTGCGTGCCGGTCTGGAGTCGTGCACAGACTATTGCTAGATGGTGATTCTGGGCATCACGTAGGCAATCAGAAGACCGGTGGACAGCGAGAGTATAGTAAGCTTGACATTGGGGCGAGTCTGGTCATCTCTTGAGGGACTTCGAGGCACTCTGTCTCGCCTTCACGGCCTTGCTGCAAGCTGGCGTCCACCATACGGGATCAGAGGGCCGAGTACAGAGAAGTTGGGACGGGATAAACTGGTTCATTCCATCTATGATCGCAGAGGTAATATTGGTGCAGCTGCTGTTTGCATCCTCAGACATGAGGGCATCCCAGTCCACACTCCTAAGGTGGTGGTTTAGTCTGTCCCAGTCAGCGCGGCCATATTGCCAGACTGTTCTGGCCGTCTTGGGCTCTCGACATAGTTCTGTCTTGAATTCTGCCAAGATGGTGGCGTGGTCAGATATACCAATTGGGGGGGCTGAGCCGGACCGTCGGGTTGCCCAGGTCACTCATGATGAGGTCGAGGAGGGCATTTCCACGAGTAGGCTCCGTCACATGCTGCTGGAGGTGATGTAGTGCGCAGAGGTCCTCCAGCTTCTCCCCAGCTGGAGTTGTTCTACTGCTGCCAAGCCAGGCAGTGTTGTGCGCATTGAAATCGCCAGCGATGATGAGGTGCTGTGCATCCACCCGGGCAACGTCAATGGTCTGGTCCAAGTAATCTACCATACTGATATCGTTGCCAGGAAGAGACCCTGGACGGTAGGCAGCACACAAGACAACTTTGCGGCCAGGTCTTATGCGGATAGAAAGCCATACATCTTCTTGATCAAGGGTTGGAACAGCTTCCAGTTCTTGAAAAGCTAGGTTGGATTTCACCCACACAGCCACGCCTCCACCCTGTGGTGTTCGGTCTCGTCTTACTGAAGTGGAGTACCCAGGAAGAGTCACTTCGGCGTGCGGTATCTTATCCAGGATCAGCTTGGTTTCTGTGACTACAGCAATACGTGCATCAGATGCCAGAAGGGTATGCTGAAATTCGCCAAACTTTGAACGGATACCAAAGGCATTCGTAACCATCAGTTTCAACGTCTTACTGGTCATTGCTCGGGAGAGGGTCGGCAGGTGGGAGACTTTCATTGTTCTGAGGAGGAGGGTCAGACTTGGTGATGTCATCAGTTTTGGCACGTTGGCTAGAGTTATCATGGCGTGCTCCACTGCTTTCGTTGAAACGCCATTGCCTGGCATAAAGTGGCCGGGGCCAGAAGTTTGCAGCGGTAATTGTAGAAACTGTTGCAGCATCAACTGTCAGTTTCGCTGAGATTTTGCCCATTGCTGATTCGTGCATACTGCAATCGTGCACATCCGCAGATGTCCCAACC